CACACACACACACACACACACACACACACACACACACACACACACACTCCTGTTCTCGTGAGGACACCAACCTTTCTGGGACTCGTGCTTCTCCGTTTTGCCCTGGTACTCAAAGCCCACGGCGCTCTTGTCCACCTTGTCGGTCTCAACGCCAAACTTGCCGCCGAAGCCCTTTGTGTAATCTGAGAACACCAACGTTAGACAGGAAGCGGTGTTAGAGTGGTCCTCTCCACATGAGAGAAGATCTCTACACTTTGGTCAGTACAGTTTATCTGACGCGTCGTTTGTAGTTTCTGTCAAAGTGTAAATTGAACGAACTAAGAGCCCATTTTGATACCAACAAAGCATATTTGAGATATGCACACGCACGCACACGCACACGCACACACACACACTTTAGAAGAGAAAGAAACCCGAAAGGGGCAACAAAGGAGATGTTTCAAAGCAAGAAATACAGACAATATCCCCCAGAAAACCAGCAGACTGATGACGCTGCCGTGTGTGCAGCGATCACCTGGATGAGATGGTATTATTCAACACTGTGGAGAGCAAACATCACATCACACACGCAACCGAGAGAGAAGGATGAAAACAAAGACAATGTTTGTGACGTTATCTGAGCAAAAGCTGAGGAGCGAAGCCAGAGGAAGAGAAATGATAACACGATTTGTCAGGACCTGCACTTGTTGAGTCAGGCCAAGGGGTGGGGGTGTGTGTGTGTGTGTGTGTGTGTGTGTATGAGCCACATTGTTAGATCTGGACAAACCTTTCTGGGAATCGTGTTTCTCGGTCTTGCCCTGGTAATCGAAGCCCACTGCGCTCTGGTCGACTCGATCTGCCTGCACACCATATCGCCCCCCAAACCCAGTGGAGTAGTCTACACGGGGGGGGGGGGGGGGGGGGGGGGGACAAAAAACAGACCCACTTCTGTGGCAAAGGGTAGCGGGCGTTTTTTTTTTTTTTTTTTTTTTTCCCCCCCCTCCCCCCCCCCAACCCGGGGGGAGTGCCCCCCCGGGGGGGGGGGGGGGGGGGGGGCAGAGGTCAACAAAGCAGCCCAATTCCTGTCTAACAGTTACCGGCAGCAGCTTAGAGCTAAAGACAGAATCACAACACATTCAGTGCCGTCTCTCCGTCTTTGAATCCTCTACGGAGGAGAGTGTAGAATCTACGTGTCGTCCTGCTCGTGATGCAAACAGAAGGTTGTTAGACTCAGTCGTGACTCTACGGTGGAACCACTGGACTCGGGCAGATGTTCTGCTCCTGTGTGACGACGGCAGAGAGGTCATGAGAATGAAGCCAAAGCTCTGTGGTTCCCTGTGATGCTGTACACAGTGAATAAAATATGTCCATTTACATCCTCCGGGCTAAGATTCCACTTTGATCTTCTGCTGATGGAATATTTACTGATCAATAGTGAATTTAGAAGTTATTACTAATGTGTCCAGTGAATAAGAAGAGCTGCACGATCTACTCTCAGGAGTGTGTTAAACTGATCCAGACGTCACCTTTCTGAGAAGCATGTTTCTCCGTCTTCCCGGCGTACTCGAACCCAACAGCTGACTAGAGAGAGGGAAAGAGAGAGGGAGAGACAGAGAGGGGAGCCAGAGAGAGGGTGAGACAGAGACAGACAGAGGGGAGACAGAGACAGAGAG